ATAAAATCTTTTAAAAAAATGGAGTAACTGCTTCCCTCACAGAGCTGTTGGGGAGACTAAGTGAAGTAACACGAATGCATCTAGAGAGTGCTGGATGGTGCTGGACTTCCTATACATACTCAATAAATTATGTTCCCTGTCCTTTTCTCACTCCACTGCTGATTAAACATTTATAGTAAGGAATCTATAGATCCTAATTACTCCTTACCTCCCTCAAAGCATAGATACTCTGAGTCTTGATTAATTCCAAAAGGAAAATATTACTAGATCAATAAATATATTGGAACTAAACAGATATAAAGGGAAAAAACAAAGAAAAACAACACATTCTACCTAATTTTATGACTACAGCCCTGCTATTGATCTTTCAGAACATCATAAGATCAAAATTTATCAATATTTAAAGTTAGGAGAAAAGAGCATAGGACCCAGAGATCTCAATTCATTACAGCTTCAAGGAAGAATCCCAAAAGAACCTAACCAATCATGTTATATTAAAAAAAAAAAAATGTACTTCCAGTGGGGAAGACAGATTTGGACAAAGACAGAGGCAATAAGGATAACACCTCTACAGTAAGTTGCCTTGTTTGTTGAAGACAGGACTTCATTCTTATGTTGAAGTAGCCTAAAAATGCCAGGAGGGGGAAAGGAGGGGGAAAGAAAAATATAGCAATTCTGCTGTTAATTCCCTGCACATACATATTTCCTTTAGTTTAATTTTGCTTTGTTTTCCTTTTGGTTCATAACCACATTACCTTTGATAAGTGTAAAGAAATCAAATCAAACTTTCCTCTTAATTTCCCAACAAGTAAAAACTAAATGTATGTTGGGTATACACATAAACCTAAGTACAATTCAAAGCATAGTGAATTTTTATATCAAGCCCATCTGGTGTTATATTAGGGTGTATCCCATGGAAATGCAACCAAGGGTGACTGCCAAACTAAGCTACAGAGGACAATTCAAAAAGCTGGTGAGTCCCATAATACAAATGATATTTTAAAAAGTACAAGAGAGTATCTACTTAACAAGATTACCTGCTATCACTCCATCCTAATAATAACCCTCCTTTACTTCTGTAAGACAGTTTTGTCACTAAAACATGGGTCAGTATTGGACATGGTGGGCACCCTGAGATAATGACATTATAGCGAGATATCAGTTAAGTGATCTAACAAACCCACAAGTTACTATCACAGTTTTATGTCCCAATCCTGACAATTCCATCCTTCTGTTAGGGGTCATAAAAGGCCAACTGATCTCTTCAGACCTCCATTTCTACATAAGAAAAATGGAAATTATAATATACTTCTGCTTCACTAGGCTCTAAAAATGGAAACTTGCTAAGAAAAAAAATGAATGTGAAGCACTCGGAAAAGAATAAACTAGATTCCCTGACCTGATTATTGTCAGAGTCCTGTAAAACTAGAATTACTACTTCTTCCAATTCCATACATGCCACCTGGCCATCAAACTGACTGGTAAATTGTACTGACTGGAAAGTTGATCCATGTAAAAACTTTTAAAGTTATAGCAACAAAATTTGTGTCACAATGTATCTTCATCCCATTAACTATCTTCAAGGAAAATTTACTCATTGGCATTATAAAAGTAGAAAATAAAGATTAATTATAAATATCTGAACTGGAATTTCTTAAAATAGTAAGCAGCATGTATAGATAGAACAGTTTGAAACCGATACTGCAGCAACAATGCAACTGAGCTAACCCAGAAACATAAGGAATCACAAAGTAATCTCTTCCAATGGGCCAAAATACAATATGGATTATTTTTATATTGTTCTGTCTGAGTTCTCTGTCTCAGATTCTTAACTTCCAGAGTCTATTTTTAAAATCACTTAACACTGTGTATTTCCAGTAGCCATCAAGGCATATACTGTTATCCCTGACACCGAAGACTGTCAGCAGACTCAATATGTACACTAACGATCTCGGGCAACACTGCCCATCTTCTTATCAAAGGGATTTTATTCCATAATAAAAAGTCTAAAGCTCTCCAAGAAAATTCATTCTAAAACACAGGAAGTAGTTACTGTAAAATGTTAAGATCGGTATTACCCTTTACTTTTTAAGATTGTACCTTACATGCTAAATTTTAAAACCAAAAGCTGTCAGACATTATAACATTTTTTAGTTTTTCCCCAAGTCGCCGATGCTCTTTTCTAAAGCACTGTCAAATAATGATAGCGGCTGTCATTATTTTTTATACAATAGCTGGCAGCAAGTTGTACAGACACACTTCTTAGAATAGTCATCAAATAACCCAAACAAATGACATGGACCTTGTGGTAAAACTGACCTCTTTCCTAAAACCAAAATAAATGGGCTATCACAGGTTAGTGACACTTTACTGCCAGAATGTTACTTTATTAAAAAAAAAAAAAATCAAAAGTTTTTTTTTTTTTTTCTAAGCTGTTTTAAAATAACTTTCCCCCTCTTACACATACAGTCTTGCCCTTTCCTTGCTGTTCCTGGAGGCTATCTTATTCTATCATAAAGGTGTTCCCATTTACTTTTGGCTTGAATACTTTCAATCAAAATCGCAATTCTGTTTTTGGACACAACAGCCCTTCAGGAAGTATATTTGAAGATATTAAAAAAAATTTTTCAGAAAATAAATAAGCTATTTTCATTTGATAAAGTTCAACAATGCATTTAAATGGATTTAGGAAAACCAATCATCTCAGACACAAGTGATTTGACAGCGCACCCCCCCACACACACAAATTATTCCAAGTTACAGAAAAACATTTGAGTGAACCGATTTTAGGTCTCTTGTTCTAAGTAAGAGACAAGAGTCCCTCTTTACAACTATTTGCTTGAGCTATCTAAAATGCTGATATTCTCCTAGATCTAATAGATCTAACAGAAAGGAAAAATGGGTATCTTCTCCATCTAACACCGAAGTGGGTAACCTAGATACTGTAAAGAGAGGCTACATAAAGGATGCAACAGACAGCTCTGAAGTGAGAGCCAAATATTTCACCTGCAACTCTTCGGAAAAGAACACGAAAACGCATGCAGCTTAGCCAAAAACCGTATCAACATGGAATTGCCACAGGCTAGTAAGCTTGGGGGAAAAACAAAACAAAACAAAACAAAACTCTACCAAACGTAATTTTACTGTTGGGTTGGGTGAGAAAAGCTCAAATGTGAAAAGCACAGCTCTTGTTTGTTCAAATTGATCATGCCCACAATCTGCAATGTTTACGTAAAATAAATGGGTGAGCTGCTTTTTGGAAGAGTACTTGCAAAACCAGAGTCAAATTCACAAGGAAAGGAGCCAATTAACAAGCATTTTCCTGCTGATATTATAGTGGTGGCTAGGGGATGATAGCTAAAAGTCGATGATTACTCAAAGTTTCTCAAGTTTACCAAAGCCGATAGCTACATATTAAGCTAAGAGAAATTTTCCTATCTTTACTCTTTAGGAAATGAAACAAAAATTATCAGAGAAATAAAAATCTATTCTAACAAGGAACTAATAACATTAAATGTTAAAATATAAAAATTGGACTGCCTACACTGAAGTAGTAGTATAACTTTTGTCAAATTATAGCCAACTAGCCAAAAAATAAATTAACGCTCAAGATCCATCATAAGAGATTAACACTATAATGTAATACACAGTCAGTCACTCACTATTAATTTTTCTTTCTATGTGATAAAGGAATTTTAACAACTTCCAGAATAAAATCTCCTAGGAAATACTTCCCATTAATAAAAAGAAAACTTTTATATAAGTAAATTCATATAGTTCAATCAAAACGTCAAGTCAATAGCTAGAGTCACTTAACATTAATGAACTACAAAATGTATTCAATAATACTTTATATACTTTTGCTTATACTTCAGAAGTCTTTACTATTTACAAAGCTAGTAGCTTTAGAATAAGCTCAAGTTTTGAGAACTATTAAGAGAGAAATGGAAAGAAAATGTGTTCTTTCTGGGTAATCAGAATTAACTTGAGAATATGTTCATAGTTTAGCAGCTGATTCAGTTTCCTTTAGTTTTTAAATCTTTGTTTAAAAAAAAAGGAAAGAAACTGCCTTTCCTTCACAGATCACCCAAAGAGAAAACTTTTAAATTAAGTTATATATACATAGAAGTCAGATGCCCTTTCTAGACAAGAATCTAACACATACAAAAGTATAAGGGAAACACAAGATTTCAAATTATGTTTGAAGAGGAGTAACAGACCATTTGCACTTAATAACTAAACATTATAATTAAGAGAAAACCAACCAAAGTCTTAATGAAGTACTTTGTCTTCTGTCACGGACAGATATAAGTTGCTCTTTTATTACACAAAAACAATGTTTACTACATCAATGAATGACTCTTTCTCAAAAATAGTAGCCCAAACTTGTCTATTCCTGCAAGTTAAAAGATCCTTCCTAATTTTCACAGCTCTTCTCTGGACAGTCTAAAACAAAACGCTCTCACTTTGTTAAAGAAATGGATTTAAATCAGGTCCATAAATTTTCAGTTACACTTCACTTCCAATGCTTTGGAGGAGAAATTTGCACATAGTTTAAAAAAAAAAAAAAGTAACACTGCAACTCTACCACTGATGGATTAGCATTCTACCAAGGCAATATAAAATTAATTCTTTTTTTTCTTTTTCCTATGAAGAGTCCTTTGGAAGTGACTTGTTTCCATATTCTTTTATCCAACAACAACAACAAATCTAGTCATAAACCTGGCAAGTCAAAACAATAACCAGCAAAGTCTAACATTTCTTACCTGATACAGGTAAGCACCAGCTCCCAAATGCCACCTTGGGATAGGTCAGACTAGTAAGCAGGCTCATGTTTTATGATACTAGAATGAACAGGAATAAATCTGGGTTGTTCTTTCTTTAGCAAAATCTATGGCAGCAGCTACACCACAATAGGAGAGGACCCCAAAGACCTAACAAATTCAAGTGTGTCGCTAGAGAAATAGGAAAAAAAAAAAAATCATAAAATGAAGACTTACTGCTTGTCATGTGACCTGGTGAGGCATGCTGTCCATTGGGTGTGCTTGAGGTGAGGTCAATTGCCATATTGGAGTGCTCCCTTTCAGGTGAAAGCTCATTGTCACCTGCTTTCACAAAATAAAATCTTTTGGTCTCTGTTCATGGTCACATAAAATCTAATTACCAACTTTGCTTCATACATGCAGAGGCATGCATAGCCTTGAAATTTTAATGTTCCATATTTTCCCCTTAAAAGAACTATAATTTAGAAATATATAGCAAATGAATGAAATAATGAAAAACCATGACCAGCCCACAAAAAAAAAAAAATTACAAAATTTGATTATCACAATAATCTTAACTGTAAAATAAGGGCAATTGGAAGTGTTGATTTCTAAAGTATTTTTCTGTTGAAAAAACAAGTTTTCTTTTAAACATCCAGCTCTCTGATAGCGTTTTGGAAAATGCTCACTATAAATACTCTCTGCTTAATGGTTAAATTAGATGTTAAAAGAAAAGTTGGCTAAGAAAAAAAAAGGTCAGCTTCAGGAGCTTTCACATTATGTGTCAGAAAAATTAGGTTACAGAGTAGTAAATATTCAGTACACGCCATATTAGTAGACATATATGTAGCCTGACTTATTCTAAACTGAGAGTAAAGTAAATGAAAAAACTCCAGTGCAAAAGTGTTGATCTGCTAAGCTACTTACTACTGACCAACATACTATCATTAATAGAGAGTTAGGTATATTCCTGTGTTTCCTTCATTTTGGCTCTATGCTATTATTTTCTCAAATTCATTTAAAGGTGAAATTGTGAACAGACAGAAAATAAGAGTATAGAATTCTTGATGAAAACATAATTCAGAAATAAAATACAGGTAACAAATATAATGTTATTACCAATAACAAATTAATGAAAATGAATACTTACACGTTATATAGCCATCAATAGCCTCTGTTTCCATAGTCAAAGTGCAGTGCTGCAATACAAAAGATGATATCCTTAACACAATGATTCCTTTCAGTATCTGCCATTAAATGCTTAACTTATTAGAAGCTTCAAGCGGTTAGCCCATGTTGCGGCTCCTGCAACCTGGGCCCAAGAAACATACTACAGTGTACTGTATGTGCTCATTTGCAAGTCACTGAACTCTTTCTGCAAATGATCTGATTCCTGCTGGAGATAGGATAGGAAAGATAAGTGTGCTGTGAGATGGGCTGTAGCGAGAAAGGAATAACTCTCTTAATCAGAATTTACTTGAAGAAAAAATAGTGAGGGTACGCCTCAAATGTGCCAGCTTTCACTGGGATTTAAGTATTTTGCCATTCACTACTTCCCACAATCACACTGCAGTTTGAGGACTTCCCTGGTATACAGATAGCTCTATTCACAATTGTTGCAAGTTGGTTCATCATGTTCTAATAGGGAGGGGGGAGGACAAACAAACATAAGAAAACAAAACAAAACAAAAATTTAGTGCCCCAGTGTGTCCTGAAAGTGTCTGCAGCAGTCGCCCTACTCCCAGACTTGTATTGACATTTTAGCCTACACGAAGTTCTGTGTAAGCACCTGTTCAATGTAACCTTAATTTCCTGCCAGACCAAGGTTGGATACAAATGCCAAACCAAGTTAATACATGCCGATTTTTAAAATTTCATAAACTTTTTGCTCTTAGGAAGGGAATCACTTTTTTAAAGTTTGGGGAATTATTTTCATGCACCAATGACACAAACAAGAACTTAATTCTCAGAAACAAAAGTAAATTGTATGAGATGACACCCCCTAGCTTTGATTTCACATAATGAAAAGATCGATAAGCTAACTGTATTCTTTGAAGGAAAAAGTTTAAAGAATTGACATGTCCTGAGGAGATTTTTACTTATTTTTTTTTCCTTTGGCCCTGGTCCTTTTTGCCTTTAGTTTCAAAACTCTCACTGCACCAGCAGCTAAATTATTCACAATGAGCCATTTCTGTATTGATCGCCAAGTATATTTAGCCCTGGCTCCTGGAATTTCTCCATTACTTACTGGAAAACAGGCAGCTTCACTTCTTGTCTCCAAAACCACTTCCCTTCTCCCTCCCCTCCCCTTCTTCACCACCACCCTCCCCACCCCCCCCAAAAAAACTTTTGTTTCTTTCTTTATGGAATAATCAGATCAAATTCCCAACTCAGTCACTACATAGCACTTAAATTTCAACCTGCTGTACTGTTACCAAATTCTTTCAAATTATGATTACATAAGGCTGTTTCAAGAAAGGCATCCGTAAAGTTTAAAAGGGGGGCAGTTTCTTCGGATATTTTACAAATGAGTTTATCTCTTTAAAAATGTACACATTTAACACACACATATTAAAAAGAAAGAAACGTCAGGAAGAAGCGAAAGAAGTCTGCCCCATCAATGAAATGGTTATTAACCCTCAGAGAAGGAAAGAAAGAAAAAGAAAAGGAGAAAGAGAAACGAAATGTACATACAAAAGAAATTGTCCTTTGATTAAAAAAGATTCATCACCATTTCCAGCTCTGTCGGGAGATCTCAGCTTCTTCTAACCCCTCAAAGAGGAGGTGACAATGTCGGGCTGAAGATAAACGGAGAGAGAAAGAAAGAAGTTTTTTGTGTTTCCCCCTTCTCTCTTTCCCTCCCTTGCCCCTCCAAGCCAAGCCCCCTGCAGAGTTCAAGGCGAGGAGGAAGGAAAAGCACTTTACAGGTGGGTCATTCCGAGCCCAAATCCTGCAAACAGATCGGCTGATAAACAAAACCAAGAAATGAGAGAGAAGGAACACCCCCCTCTCCTCCTCCTCCTCCTCCTCCTCCTCCTCCTCCTCCTTCTACCCCTCCCCCTCGTCCCTTTGGGATGGTCTAGTAGGAAAAGTCACTCAGGAATGGCACCACGTACTTTCAGGAAAGAGGAAAAAAAAGGGGGGGGGGAGAGGTCAGTCAGTGCTACAGCAATGAGATTAACAAGAAGAGAAAAAACTTGATCCACCGGTTCCTTAAGAATCGACCAAAAGCTAAGGCAAGAAAACTGAAAGAAAAGGGGGGGGGGGGGGAGGGGGGAAAGGGGGGGGGGACAGGGGGGAAAAACCCAGAGAAAAACAAAGCAAAATTAAAAAAACTTTTTTTTCCCCTTGGCAAAAAAAAAAAAAAAAAAAAAAAAGGAAAAAGAAAGAGAAAGAGAAAAGAAAGAAAGAAAAGATAAAAGAAGAAAAAATAAAGAAAAGAAAAATAAATAAATCTTAATTCCATCTCTTTCGCCCATACTAGAACCTGTCAAAGTGATTTAACTGCTGCCTTTTTACATGTGTCATACCAGGTTTTTTGCTTTTTAAAAAATTCCAACAAGGATCTGAATATTACCTTCTACCAGGACAGCTACAATTTATTCCAAGCTACCCAATCTTTCTTGGAATTCAAGTTAAAACAAAGCAAAACAAGTCAAAATCCATGACAGCTACAGAGATGAGAACTGATTAATCGATTAACATCCCCGAAACACATTACGAGGAGGGGAAGATAAATTAAGGCAGAGGACATCATCTTCAACCCGATTCCCTGAGCGTCCTTTACAGAAATCATTATCCTAATCATAACCACAATCCATCCCGCCCAGAGAAAAATATCTACATTATTATTATTACTGGTTAACAGCAACAAGTCATTTGATCACATCACAGTGCAAAACGAGATGCTATATAATTACACTTAACTTTGAAAACACTCCCCCCCTTTGCAAATCAGATACACATATTTATATATAATCTATGAATCAGAAGACAAATAAAACAAGAGCTGTTCTTCACCACGCAAAAGCCAAGCGGAGATTTACCTCAGCAGTGCATGCAGTAAAATAATCCCATCACCCTTTTGTTTGTGTTTACTGTTAGTGTATCCTCTCTCTTTCTTTCTTTCCTGTGCCTAACGTGTGTTTGTGCACTGCAGTTGGTGGTGGAAACTAAGGCAGTGGATCTGTAGCTAAGGGTAATCCTGTTTTTACTTCCTCCATCTTCAGCGAGGAGCAGGGTTAGCCCGGGACAGCTGGTCAAACCCCGAGAAACCGATCCGCCGGAGCCCGAGCACATCTCCCCCGCTGGCCGGGCTCGCGCAGACGCCCGCGGGCGGAGGGCGGGCTGTCGACGGCGGCGGGCGGCGGGCGGCGGGGCCTGGGGCGCGGGCAGGCGGACGTGCGTGCGCGCGCGCGCGCGCGCGTGTGTGTGTGCGTGTGTGCGGGGCCTGGGCGCCTGAGCCTGTGCGTGCGTGCGTGTGTGTGTGTGTGTGTGTGTGTGTGCGCGCGTGTGCGCGCGGGTTGGCGAGGGCGCGTGTGCGCGTGTCTGCGCTCCGGGCCGCTCGGCGCGCTCGGCAATCGATTACAGGACAAGTGCTGCCCGGCTGCTCCGCGACGCGCGCACTCCCTCGCGCCCACCCGCGCGCCCGGCCGCGTCGTCCCCTGCCCTGCGGCCCCCAAGACGGCGGACCCCGCCCCCAAAGGGGGACCAGGTAACCTGCTTCCGAGAGTGCCATGGCGACACCCCACCCGCTCCCCCGCCAAGTCTTAATAAATCTCACGTTTTCTGCCGGCTGGGAAGGAAGGATTGGAGCGGTGAGGGGAGGTTCATTTCGGCCGCTTGAAGTTTTCTTTCAAACTGGGATTTGTGACGAGGCCGGGCGGAGGGAGCGGGACGACGGTCCGGGCGCCCGACGCGGAGCTCAGGCATCGGCGTCCTGGCCGGAGCCGGGGTGTGCGCGTGGACCCACCCACTCGGGCTTCGCAATAAACTAAGCGGTACAGTTCAGAAAACGGCCCCGGGGAGACCAGGACACGAATCAGGATGAATTGAGGGAATGAATTGAGAAGGAAATTCAGGTCTGAGATGAAGCTCAACTATTTTGAAAGTGCTTTGCAGTGCAAGTTTAAAATTAGAGTGTTGACTTGCTTTTACTCCCCAGGGCTTGTGCCGCATTCACCAAAGTCAAAGGAGCGGGTGAGGGTCCAAAAAGTTGGTCCGGGGGAAGTGTCGCCGTCACTACCAGGTACAGCCCAGCTTTTTTATTTGGGAAAATCGTCTGTGGATCGTCATGAAAAAAAAGCAAATGCATATTTCGTCTACAAATAGTAGCATTTAGCATTTAACTTGACCACATTTGCAAAAAGAGGGAATAGAGGCTTCTATAATTAAAGGGAAAAGGAAAATGAAAGGAGCTGAAAATACTGAACTGTGTAGTCTGGGTGGCTTAAGTTTGAAAACACATGAAATTATCAGGACTGCCAAACAGCATTTCTGAGAAACCATATCACAGATTGTGAAGAAAATCAATGCCGAAAGAGTTAGGAGGAGGCTTCGTACTCCTACTCCTTTCAAGAATCCCAAAAATAGTTGCTGAGTTTTGGGTTTTGTTTTTTTTTTTTTCACCCCTGCTGTGGAAAGAGAAATGCTACACTGAAAATAAAATCATCAACTATATCTTAAACACTAGTCTGTAGGTCTATAAAATTTTGGACCGTGTCTTGTCTTTGGATTTTGGGGTGGGGAAGGAATTCATTCACCTTACCTTAATAAACACCGAATAATGGATACCATGGGACTTGTGTAATAACTATATTTAAGTTGTATAATGAATTACTTAAGAGTTTATTTCATGCATTGTATTTTTTAAAAAACTGTACAAATAGGCTCGTTTTTAAATTATGGAAAATGAAAGTTGGTGCCATAGTGCAAACAAGATTAATCAATTTTCATTGGAGAACAAATCATTTGGACTTAGATCAGCAAGAACAACTTTATGACAGTTTTAAGTAAAATTGCAGGTCCTGTGACTTATATATGTTTTTTCTCCCCTGTGAATTATATATTCGTAAGGCAGATTTTTGTGGTTTTTTTTTTAAGCCTAACTATTATCTAAATAGAATTAATTTTCCTGAAGTCCTATTTGGAAAAGACTGAAATTAGAATTCCACAAGTCATTCTGATCATCCCAGTAGATAGCAAGGGTTTTAATCTTAAATTATCTTAGAAAATTGGAATGTTCGTTCTATATAAATTACCAATATATAAGGGGAAACTTAACTTGCCTGAATTGCCACAACTCCTTCCTAAAAATTAAGCCTGCATTTAGGTATCTGCAAAATAATGGAGGTCCTTGGAGAAGATGAATTAAAACATATTCAAAATTAAGATGAAATATCTGGATATTTTAAGCAGCCTAACTGCTAGTAGAAGAGGGTCCATTGTGAAGTCTTAAGGAACCATCCTCAAATTTCCCAAAGCTACCAGAGCTGGAATAGCCCTTACCCTTAGCTGGTTGAAGCTTAATTTAGCTCCCTTGAAAGCCTATCCTTTTCATGAGTTACTTTCATTGGCTCCAGAATCACCAGAGGCACACACTCTCCCTCTAGTGGCTAAGCATTCAGACACTTTACATTTGGTGGCCAAGAATGGGGGATTTAGGCAGGAGTAAATAGCTCCCAAATTTTAGAATGGCAAAGATCATATAACCACTTGTGAGAATTAGACCATTTGGGGAAATTTTTCCTGTTTTTAACATCTTATGTTTCTTTCTCATTTGCAGATCATGGTATGTCCAACTCACCCCAAAGAAGTCAAGGTTATGTTTACATACTAAACCAGGGGTTCTATTTCATCCTCTGCAGTCGAATAATCCTGGCTCTGAGACTCACAATTGTACATGTAGAAAGGAACCTTTGTATAAACTATAGTAATTCACTGCTTTCACAGTTTTTCTCTACAGTATTTTTATAGTGGTTAGAGGATGTATTTATTTCCATCCTTTGCTGTAACTACTCTACACACATTTTAAAAGTACATATATGGTTATACTATGAATAAAAATGTATCACTAGGGAAGTGCAGTACCATATAAATATTCACTTCGGGGGATTAGCGAGGCTGTGGGAGAAAACATACCCTCACCCACCGTTTTTCAAATAGCTGCTTCTTTCTCATTTCTTTTTGTCCCATCCTAACCGGAAACTGTGCCTACCCAGCGCCAACCCTTATCTTAGCTCTTTGCACATTTCTTTCATTATACAACTTGTAAATATTTTTATTTGTTGAGATTTAAAAGAAAATATGTCTCCCCCACTAGAATGTCATCTTTTTAAGAGCAGAGATTATGTCTGTCCTGCTAACAATTGTTTTCTCAGAACTAGCACAGTGTTTGGCACATCAATCCTCAATAAACTTTTACTAAATGGATGAATGTAGAGCTAATCACATACTCACCTAGCTTTGTGTGTTAAACTGTTTTTAAGGGACAAAAAGTATAGGATAACAAAGATATATTCTAATTCCATAAAGATTTTGGTCGAGTCTTGACTCATAAGTAATGTTACAAACATCATTAACAGGTCAACTCTCTGGCTTATGTTCATGTGAAGAATGTGAATACGTTCATAGATAATATAACTTTTATAAATATAAAGAGGAAGAGTTAAAATTGCATATCAAATATAATTTTGTGTAAAATGCCTTTATGTTACTGCTCTGTTTCATAAACAAATTATTTCATGTTAATGTCTGATAATTTATAAACTAGATTCACAAGGAATGCAACAATTTATTCTGTAATCACTAAATGCAATTAGCAAAAGAAACTTTTTAAAAGGCAGTGTAGCTAAAAGGTACATTATGAAGTATTTTGTTTTCTTTTGATGGCATGTTTCATCTGTGTTAGATTTAAAAGCCCTAGTACCCTTTAAAGAAATTTTAATAAAAGTGAATTTGACAAAAAATTGTTCAAGGAATTCATTCCATGTTTTTAACTTTTGATTTTGTTTTTAGCAGAGGGCAAGAGGGAACATTCTAAACATTGTAATACTTTTCCTAATATTAAAGAAGAAATTTTTGGAAATTAATTATATATTAATTATTTTTATTTAGATGGCTTTGTTGTGCAGATATGGAACATAATCACCCAAAGTAGGTTCCCTAAAGTAACTTGAATCTCTGAAAAAGTTAAAATTAACAAGCACACAGGCACAGTGTTTTAAAACTTATTGCTTGTTTTATTTTTGTCAGGTGTTGTTCTCTTTGAAGTGGTGTTCTCTTTTAAGCGGGATATGGAACAATGGTCTCATATTCTCCTGTCGACCTAGATTGGCACTATGAAGAAGAAAGCAAGCCAGAAATAGAACCATAATTTCAAAGAAAACATTTGAAGATACCAAATCCATTTCATATGTAAGGCATACTAATACCTCCCTGAGTACACTGGTAATCTGGGGTCTGTCTGTGTGGCATGTAAGTCCCATATGGTTAGGGTCTTCTCATTGCATCCACACTGAACAGTAGTTTCTTTTAACAATTCTTAAGAGTGTCACTTTGCAATTAGAGATAAGGCTCTTGTACAAATACCCATGTCCCTAGAAAAGGTAACTTTATGACTTAAATTCACACTTTGATAGAATAATATCAGGTTTCTTCTAGAGAGTATGTTTTGATGTAGAGCAGAAGATAAGCTATCTCTATCCCAAATGAGAATTATAAATTGTGGGAGTTAAACTTAGACCAAGGGGGTGAGGACTGAAGAAGTTTCTGAATAAAAAATGAAAGAACACACTTTTAAAGATGCCAGCAGAATATATCAGAGTTGCTTTAGAATGCAGATGTGTGGGCACCTGGGTGGCTCAGTGGGATAAGCCTCTGCCTTCAGCTCAGGTCATGATCACAGCGTCCTGGGATCAAGCCCCACATCAGGCTCCCTGCTCAGCAGGGAGCCTGCTCCCCGCCCCACCCTCCCGCCTCTCTGCCTACTTGTGATCTCTGTCTATAATATAAATAAATAAAATCTTTTTTTTTAAAGTGCAGATGTGTTCAGCATTTGAGGAAATGAATTCTATTAATGCAAAAATCAAGGAACTTTGAGGCGGGTCAAGGGTAGATAGCTGATGCTCAAAAAACAACTCAAAAAGACATTGAGGAGAACATTCTTCTAAAACACCCTAAAATTTATGGACACAAAAAAGTGTAATGAGGTTATCGAACTCTCCAATAAAATGTTAGCACCAGAGAAGAAAAAGACTATTCAACTTTGAAGACA